TCGCTTAGTGAACGGCTTCGAAATTCGCCTAACCAGATGCCATGATCATGAAACCAACTGAAACTGAAACATCTCACCATGTATATCTCTCTGTCTTGCCCCTTTTTTGCTGAGGGTTCACTCAGTTCTCTCAAGAATGATGTGTTTCAAGATTTTCAGACAAATAGCTTAAGCTCTTTTTTTTTTTTTTTTAAACCTCTTCTTGTATGTAAAATGTTCCACGACTCACACTTTGTATATAACATACAAGAGTTTGAAGCAGCCTTGGGAATTGTTTTCCTATGGTAAAACAATCTTTTGTGCGAAACTTGCCATGGAATTCTTTAATTCTTAAGTTGATTGTCATTTTGTTGCGCGAGTCTCATAAATGACAGGTTAACAGCACAAGAGCGGGTAATTTCATTAAAATCAAATTCTCTTGTGAGTTCAGTGATCCAATGTTATTAGGATATTTCGGTTCTTGGCCGAAACTTTCTTCAAAGAGTGGAGCTTTCCTTTTTAATTGCGGAAGGATCCATGCATATATGCCTGGAGCATGAAGGGTAAAATCAAATTAATAATAAAAAATTTAGGATTAAAAAAAATACTTAATATTAAAAATTAGGAAAAATTACATACAGGCCTAGATAACAAAATTAAAAACAAATAAGTCATCAAGATTTATTTAATACTAACATATTTACAAGTTAGGTTTTTTTGACATCGATTTTTAGCTTCTTTTTTTTTTTTTTTTGTGCCAAGGCGATCGATTTTTAGTCACCTCATGGACAAATTTGTAAATATCAAATTTTAGGAGAATTTTGCCGAACGTAAAAACATTCGTAGTGGGAGGGCAAGGCCGGGGACGAGCAAGCAGCAAGATGACTAGTGATGAGGTAAAATCGGAGGGATGTGAAGTAGTAGGGGAAGAGGAGGAGGCGGTAATGGCAAATTTGGGTTCGTACGGTGGGAAGGTGAGATTGCTGGCTGAAGGGGAGGAATCTGCTGCGGAAGAGATCATGCTTCTCTGGGCAATCCAACAGCCTACTCTTTCCAAACCCAACGCGTTCGTCTCCCAATCTTCTCTGAACCTCCGTCTCGACTCCTGCGGCCACTCTCTCTCCATTCTTCAATCCCCTTCTTCCTTGGTATGCAATCCTTAATCTTCCTTTTTCTATACTAAGCTAGCAACCACATCACAATGCAAGTTTGACATTTTAGTTGATAGAATGGTCACATAATTTAAGAAATTGAATTCAGGTAGTCGGGCGATTGAAATGGTGCTCCTATGTTGTTTTCAATACCAGGAGCTTGTGGCCCTATGGCTGATGCTTTTGTTGTGATCTCTCTCCCTCTCCTTTTTTTTTTTTGGGGGGGGGGGTGCTAATGTTCATATAGCGTAAAATCACTGGGCAGGTTACATGGTTCTATCTATTTGCACTTCTTGAAGTCGTAATTCATTGTCATAGCTGCATTAACGATTAAACGAGCTGCTAGTTGAATTGTGTGCATATTCCTACTTTCAGCTGCCTAACAGTTATGATGGTTTTTTTTTTTTTTTTTTTTTAATGGCCAGAACCGTTATGATGTATTGGCAGACTAATTCAGGATACCTCTGAACATATTAGACCTGTCAGTAAATGGAAAATGTTGGGTTTAAAGATTAGGTCAGTGATTCCCACTTACTTTAGTTGGGCAATGAGTAGAGTGAAATTGCTACTTTCTTTATTTGCAAAGGAAAAAAAAATAAGGAAATTCAAATCCAGAGGGGGAAGAAAGGAAGAAAAATGGTATCGGTGAAGTACTAACTATGTCTTATTCGAAATTAAGCTGTGTTTATGTCAGCAGTTTTCCTAATGATAAGAATCAACCGTATATCATGATTGAGACATGTATGAACAGCTTTTGCTTCAATCACTATGTCTCACGAGCACAGATGATTAGTTTCAAGCATGAAATGTAAATTTTCTAATCGCCAATAACAATTCTGATACTTCAGTTCACAGTTAAGGCTTTTTAAACTTTTTATTTAAGAGTGCACCTGGAGTGACTGGATCGGTGATGTGGGACAGTGGAGTTGTATTGGGGAAGTTTCTAGAACATTCTGTTGACTCAGGGAGGCTTGTTCTTCAAGGCAAGAAGATTGTTGAATTGGGATCCGGTTGCGGTTTGGTTGGGTAAGAACATATAAACTCCCCTATCTCAGCCAGTCAACGATATGTGGATCAATTTGGGCATATTGCTCTAATGTTTTCAACGAAACTTTTAAGACCTCTAAACAATTTCTATATTAAAAGGGATGAAATAAACTAAGAGTTCAGCCCCCAATTTGTAGACCTGCTTAGCTTTTTAGTCCTCTAATATTTTGGAATGCGCAGATTAGTTCTACAACATATCTAACTCATTCCTAGTTAGTCATTCCACCAATGTCATATAGCTTCCATCAAAATTTTGTTGCCATTGATTGATCCAGCTGACATATCAATGTATACATCATCTGTTAAGGTTTGATTAAGCAAAGATTTCTGTTTTAGAAAGGGTACATGGAAGTTTAGAGTCCTTTTCCTTAATCTAAACAATCCAAAAGTGAACAAATTTGATTCATCACTCTTCTGTCTAACATGAAGTCATGTGCTGTCCAAGAGAATCCCATGCCATACCCTTGGGAGATGTCCATCAGCAAAATTTGGAAGGACTAACCTGCAAGAAGTTGGTACTTTTAAAAACCAATTCATGATGTATGGTAGAAAATTCAAGGGGCAAAGCTAAATGGGAATATAAATTCTTGAATGCAAGCAATTTTTTTCGATGCTAGAGCTTTGAACTTCCACATTAATGTCCTGGTTATTTGACCAGCAACTAAAAGATGTGTTTTCCTTCTCCTTTCTCAAAGTCTGTAGTTCATTGTTCTTATTTTCTCTTCCTCAGTTTCATTGCAGCTCTTCTGGGTGGTCAAGTCATTCTTACTGATTTGCCTGATAGGCTGAGGCTTCTTAGAAAGAACATTGAAACTAACATTAAACATGTGGATGTGCGGGGCACAGCAACAGCGACAGAACTCATATGGGGCGAAGATCCTGACCTAGAGCTCACTGAACCCGCACCTGATTATGGTAATAACCCTTAGCCATTTCATCCTAACAAGGAATAGACAAGATCTAACTATTGGCTGCAGCAAGTTTGGAGAAATGACGTCATTCATATCACTCTTGATTGTAGATTTGTAATCATTATATTCTATCTCTAATTTTTAGTTTGGTTCGTTTTTATTTATTGGTGTCTTTCATGCCTAACTGTCACTGCCATTTACTTATTATCAAAGGTTCTAATCATAGTATTTTTGCTAAATATTCACTATTTTGCGGAGATTAGTATTAGCTTATAATACCATTCAAATGTAAACTTTAATGTTTCCATGCGAAATTTTTTGTTGGGCATCATAAGGTTTTCGTATGCTGAAGCAATACGCCTTTCTAAAAGTGGACTTATGATGAAAAATGCAGATTTGCTAGGATCTGATGTGGTATATAGTGATTCATAAGGTTTTCGTAATCATGTGATTCACTTTTCCAGATTCCATTTTTAATTTTTTCTTTTCAGTGCTAGGATCTGATGTGGTATATAGTGAGAATGCTGTTGTAGATTTGCTAGTGACTCTTGGACAGCTCTCTGGACCCAAAACAACCATATTCTTGGCTGGGGAACTACGAAACGGTGAAATATCTTCTTCTTTTTCTCCTTTTACCCCAATCCATTATTTGAAACATGATATTGACTTGTGAATAATGAATATGATTTCAGATGCCATTCTTGAGTACTTCATTGAAGCAGCAATGAAAAATTTTGAAATCGGGCGTGTGGATCAAACTCTATGGCATCCTGATTATCGCAGCAATCGTGTTGCTCTCTATGTTATGGTCAAGAAATGAAGATAATGGTTATGTTTACTAGTCTCGTTTTAGTTGACCACATCCATGTCCAAATTGTACGTGCGTTTGGAGTGGAGCCCTAACCGAAATTTCAAAAGTTCCATTGGAAAAACAGCAATTTTTTCACTGTATTGGAGCATGTTTATTTTCCTTTTGTATTAAAGTTTCGGGAAAATGTTAGGAAAATTTTGTATTTATGTGATGATATTATTATTGTTACTACTATTATGCTCAAGTGTTGTATGCACATACAAGAGATTGGTAATGTTCCATCAATTCAATTTATAAGCGATTAGCGAAATATTATCGTATCAATTAGTCAAAGTAGTTCATTATTTGATTTGTCAGATGCATCATTATTGTACATGGTTTCATATGGTTAAAAAAAAAAAAGGTTTCATATTTATAAACTCTCCCTGACAAACTCAACAACTGCTTAGCTTCCGTTGAACCTCCTGAGATGCCACCGCACCCACAAAAATGAAAATAAAGCAAACAACGACAACACACAAGTACCTCACACACTTCACATGACCTGGCCCATCAGATAAGGGCCCATCAAAAACCAAGTGTAATTAAACTAAAACTGATACCAATACCACGTGGCACTCCAGTTTTCTTTTTCTCCTTCAGTCGTTGCCTGGTCAAACCGGAGTTTCGGGTGATAGCCAAATTTCCACTGATTTGATACAAAAAGAGGCTCTTGTTTTTAATTTAAGAAAAAACATAATTTACAGCGTACGATGCTTGAACCCAAAAGAACAGAAACTTCCTCGTTCTTTTTGTATTCACTCAACGACCGTTATGCTTTTGGATGAACTACCAGTTTTATACTATTTGCTTGTTGGCTCCTTATCTTGTAATATTAGGTAAGGAAGCTCACCTCCCAGCGATAGTATATTCACAATAAAATTGCCAAATAAGTAGATGGAATAAGGTAGCAAAACCTTGCACCTCACTGCTTTGTCATCCCATAATCATATATACAATAGCTTGACACAGAAGAGCACTCATTCATGGCTTATCATCAGAAGACGATCCACACAGCAACTCCGGTGAATGCAGAAGCGCCGCGGCCGCCAAAAGCACCACTGATGCCTCCAGTAATACAGTCCATACCACCACCAAAGAGAGGAGGAGGCTGCTTCTGCAAGTGCATTTGTTGGACCCTAAGCTTGCTTCTCATTCTCATCATCATCTTGGGAGCAACTTTAGGAGCCCTTTACCTTATTTTCAAGCCAAAGCTACCCAATTACTCAGTCGAAAGCCTAAGGATAGGTGATCTGAGGCTGAACTTGGACATGACCCTGGATGCAAAGTTTGATGTGAAGATCACAGCAAACAACCCCAACGAGAATATTGGAATTTACTATGAGAAAGGAGGAAGGCTAAGTGTATGGTTCACAAAAACTCAGCTTTGTGAGGGGTCACTGCCCATATTCTACCAAGGTCATCGGAACAGAACAGTGCTTGATGTGTCCTTAAGTGGGCAAGTGGAATCAGGAACCACATTAATGGCTGCCCTGCAACAGCAGCAACAGACAGGGAGAGTTCCATTGGATCTTAAGATACATGCACCAGTAGCTATCAAACTTGGGAGCTTGAAGCTGAGGAAGGTCAGAATCTTGGGGAAATGCATGTTGGTGGTTGATAGCTTATCTGCTAATAGTCTCATAAGCATCAAAGCTAGCAACTGTAAATTCCGACTGAAACTTTAATTTTTCATAACCTGAGTTGTCTTATTCTTTATTTATATAGATTTTGCCCTTTAGTTGCAGTCTATTGGAATATATCCCTTGTTTTTATATTGAAACATTCTTTTTCTGAATGATATGTTAACATAGAAGCATTTCCTTGCCTTTATTTTGTTTTCTGTTTTTTTTTTAATTACTATTAGCATTCATTTGATTTGAACTTCTTGTTTCGCCTCCCAGTGGATAGGATTATTAAGATCTCAAATTTTAATGAATCCACTAATACTTCTCTTCACGCCAATGATTTTCTTTCTATGTGAATGACACGACGCATTTGATCCTCTTGAAAGAGTGGAAGCAAAAAAGGAAGTTGTACAAGATTTATTATGCATTTATTATCGTTACTCAATAATATTCTTTTTTATTACTCCCTCCGTTCCTTATTATAAGAGACACTTGATGCTTATGCCATGTTCCTATATATAAGAGACACTTACAAGTTGTCTTTACTTTTTTGTGTTGATTTACTATTTTACCCATATTTATTATCTCCAACTCACACTCTCTCTCCCTTCCACTTCTCTTTCTTTTAATAATTTAATTGTTCTCTCTCATGCTCTCTCTCCTTATTAATGAGGGCATTTTTGAAAAAAAAATTATACTTTTTATACATTAATTGTTCTTAACTAACTTTAACTGTTTTTTTGATCAACGTACTTCGGTTATTTGTCTCTTATAATAAGGAACGGAGGGAGTATATTTTTAGAATTTTGAAAATTGAGATCATAAATATTTCCAATTTCATCTCTTTTGTTTTTTTTTCATTTCTTTCTATGGTTTGAAACATACCCTTAATTGAAGAGTATGAGACCTCATGATTGGATAATAGTAGGGGACGAAACTAAACTAACAATTAAAATGTTATAACTACTTTAAAATCTTGATCATGATATTAATTTTGGGTACAGAGCAAACTTTTCCATTGTTCAATAAGAAGAAAGAAGCAAGACAGTTAAGAGGAGAGCAAAACAAAACAGCAAGATAGAAAGGGAACAAGTTACAAGCGGATAGGATATGTGGGAATTTAAACGGGGGTAAGGGAAGGGAAAGGGAATTTTCAGTTATGGGAATTTGCAAATGAAATCATTCCTTCATTCCTGCTCAAGTCAACTTTCTTTCCACACAATTACTCGCGCAAACTTGGATTTACCGAATTGAGCATTTGACCGGCTTTACTTTGAAATAAATACCAATAACATTATTTGGGTATTGGCAAGGAACCCCCTTTTCCCTGAACCAGACCATCAATATTATAGACACCACTCAAAGCTCTATTTTTTGGGCATTTTTCATATATTAAGGAGGGAGGAAAAAGGCACAAGGGAAAGAGAAGCCAAGAAACTCATTTTTCTATTGACAACGACTGAAAAATCACCCTCTTAAGCTTTAAGTTGGCAACCTCTGAATCTTTAAAATATGCAAATTTTTTGAGGTTTTATCTACTGTCACCCTTGAGATTGTTGGGGCCAGTTTGTCCCCCTTTTATGGTCTCCCCTTGCCAGGACGGATCCACCTGAGGAAGCTGATATTCATCTGGTTTCAAGGCCAATGCGAAGTCAGGCAATGTTGGTGCTGTCTCCATGATTCTGTAACGCAAATTGACAAGATACAATTATGATTAGGTCATCATGCTTCCATGCGTCAACCAAGCATGATAATGGAGTTGCATTAAACAACAATTTAGCAATGGAGCTTAGAAAATTTTACCTCTCATGAGAATATAGATCTCGGTTTATTCGAACCTTGCTTGAAGTATCCTTGGGAATTTTCTCGGAGAGATATTTCATGGTCCCCCAAACCGGCGGATTTCTGCACCAAGACTTCTAGTTAGGCGGGCTGTACAAAAAAGTGTATGACCTGCTAGTCTTATTACTATTATCTTCGTGAGATGCAAATTAATCAAGAGCAAGGTCATGTGAGAACCTAGATGAACTAAGCTCAGAACATAAAGAAAACAATGGCAAATGTGAATGATGCTTGCAGAATGCTTTTCTAAAATCCAGAGAGGGCGGAATAACTAGAGATGCCACCAAATAATATGAAAAGACATGACTCATGATTTAACTGCTGGTTTAGGAAGTTTAGACTATGGGGGAGAGTGTTGTAGCGTTTGAACAGAAGAGACCTTGACAATGGAGGTGCTGCATTGAACATCTCACACAGCCTCTTACTTTCTTTGAAGTACTCATCTGCTGCTTGTAGAGCAGCTACAGCCATCCCATGAGACTTCTCCGTGTTTCCCTCGTCAAGGATCAAACCATGATAATAATATGCTGCTGCCTGGTGAAGAAAAACAAAATATGAACAACTTCACATCATTTATTTACGTTGAGTGCATCTTACATGCTCATTCTCAATTAATTTTCGGTTAGAAAATTAGCTAATTATGCCACCCCTCTGCACGTGGAGGTCTGGCAGATAAAGCTTTGATCACTAGATAATCTGTCCATCCGGACAAAAAATAGCTAATTTTTTGACATGATGGTTTCTAAGTATGAAATTTTCTTTTCCACCAAGACATTAACAGGTGACTGGATTGTTCAAACATAATTTTCTTGGCCAATTGGTGGTTTAAAAATTGAAGTTCGAGTGTGGTACAGGGGCATTGAAGGTAACCTGGACTAACAAAAAACAGCAAAAAGAAGACATTGAAATGATTTCCAAAGTTGAACAGTTTAAGTAACCAAATTGGAAATTGAGAAGCCTAATCGCCAAAGCCCAAAAGTTGATGGCAATAATAAGCATTTTCCCATAAACAATCAGAACAACAATTTTGTCTTTCACACATCACTGCTATTATGTGGATAATTTGCCTTATGTCCAAATTATCTTCAGTTTTGTCACAAGGAAAGAACACTTATAAAAACAGAGAACCAAAATTATGGTCAGAGTCTTCAAGATATAAAAACCAATTAGTCTTTTAGTTGTACACATTAACAAAGCAGAAAGCTGCTGCCTACTTAATGAAAGCAAATATGCTGACATCAGCACCAAAAAAAAAAAACTGTATTAGCCCTCAACGGATAAAAAATTAGCATGTGAATTATGGCAACTTTCTTTTTTTTTTTGGCGGGGGGGCAGAGAAGCCCTGAAAAGAACAGACAGGATACAAACCATGAAAACAAATATTTGTGCTGCTTTTTCATCAGACTTTAATATTCTGATAGATTAAAATATAATGTAATTATACCATAGACCTGGAAAACATATTCACTAATTTATTTACAAATATTTCATATCCAATAACCGTTGGACATTCATTATTTATTTATCATATAGACCCAGAATGTAATATATTGCTTCGCAAAAACAGTAACGACTAATGACTTGACTCAACACCCTATTCTGCCAGTTTATTGGCATCAACTTAAGAAAACATTTTATCGGATTTCAGCCACAAGACAGAAGTACATTTGTTATGTACAAAGGTACAATGAATCAAACATCATTTTGGCCACTTCTAAGTTCCAATAACTCAGTCTTCAAAATTTATATACTAGTTTCCCTAAACCTCGTGTCTTTATAGTTCGAGATGTAGACAACTATTCGATCCAGTTTGTCATTTCAGCAGCACTTTTATCATTTACACTAGATTATCAATCAACCAGCAAATTTCTCCCTCTTTCTCTTATTACTGAACCCTGAAGACTCACATATTACCATACTGTACGACAGTATTAAAAAGAAAGAAGGAAATAACCCTAAAATCAAATCCATTTGACCGAACATAGCTCCAGTTCGCCCAGAAAAAGCGCAAAATGCAAACAACCCAAAAGTAAAATAAAAAAATGTATACCTTTGCTTCAACATACTTCCATTTCACAAACATACGATGCTTTTCACCCCAACCATTAGTTAAGGGAAGATTCATGATGTTGTCTTGAGCCTGTACAATAAATAGAGCAAACAAGACAATGTATCCTGATTAAATGCATCTATTTTATAGTACTGGAGAACAAACACATATACAGCAATGTAGAATAAACAAATATTTGTATCAAGAGAAGAATGTTAAATAAGCAGAATCAAGGGGAAAAAGTTGGAAGGTCCCCTAAAAAAAGAAAAATGCGAAATTAAATAACTGAAGCATCAATTACTCAGTAACCCAAAATATAGTAAGCACCAATTTGAGAAATTTGGGTATTTATCACATAAACAATCACTTTCCCAATGACTCAAAATACTCAAAAGTAGGATGAGATTACTTTCATGAAAACAGAAAATGCATCTACAGAAAAGAACTCAGGTAAAAGAACCTTATGCAATGCAAAGCCAGGGCAAAGTGATCAGGAAGACTTAATGAAACTCACAGCTTTTGAAGTGTTTAATAATTAATACAATTTTAAACAAATTTATACTACTCCTCCGGTCCTATATATAGGATCTAATTGTTAAGTTGATTTTGGTCCTAAATATAAGACCTATTTCTCATATTCATCAATTTTTTCTAAATTACCCCTATAGATACTCCCTCAAGTAGAAGAGGGAGGGAGGATATTAAGAAAGATGATTATGATGTTTTAGGAAAAACATGTCATATTTCTTATAATTAACTAACTTCCTTAATCTAATCAAATTAGTTAAATAGGTCTTATATTAGGGATCGGAAGAGTATCATAGAATTTGAAATTTTATATGCAAATAAAATCAGCCAATCCAGCAAATGAAAGCAAACAAAGGGATCCACAACAAGCTCTACAATAACAGTTCACATTAATTCACCCAAAAAAAAAAAAGTTCACACTAGATATACCGATCAGATTAAAGCATTAGTTTGAAAATTTTCAGTCCCATATACAAATCAAAACCCAAAAGGGCAAATGATTGATAGGTGCCTCAGATTGAACATAACTATGTAGTAAATGCTGTATATAAGCACTTGACATTCGTACCTGCTGCCAATACTTCACCATCTCACATGCAAGTCTGCGCTTAACAGCAAGAGTCGCTTTGGTACTATCAATTGCCATTCCAAGTTGGATATCAACACCCTAAACAGATTACAGAAGTAATGAACAAGTGTACACCCAACATTGATATACGGAGGATAGGGACTGATCAGGACTGGACTGAACTGTCCTACCCTACCTACGGGTTAAGACTGGGGAAAAGAAGGGAGGAGGAGGGAGGGGGCAATTTTATATACTCAGTATTCCCCATTATTCAGTATTCTGTTTGACATTGATAACATTTACAAAGGAAAAGTTTCCCGCGGATGGGTGAGTTACCTATATATAAAATCTCATGGTGCGAATAAACACGACTTTTAAAAGGGAGACACCGCACCTTGATCCAAATAGTTCATCAACAATAGCAAAAATAAAAATAAAAATAAATATGATATAATATCATTCATCATCTTGATAAAGTAACATATCAGCTACTTTTAAAAGCTCTATCAGATCTGGTAACAAAATTAATCCTCTGAAGAATAGTTTTCACTTTTCACTTTTCACTTTCATTGAGAAATCACAAGTATATCGGACTCTCATGACGAAGTAAAAATTGCTTTCTGAGTTGAATGTTTTCGCACAAGTATTGTGATCCAATACCTCAGGACTTCCGAATCAAACAAAATGAACTGTGATAAGAGGACAACAATATTAGATTCACATTACTTTCATTCTACTAATGAGAGGGAGGGAAGGAGGGCTTGGTTCTTAATGCTCTAAATTGTCTGCAAAACATGTTCCAATTTGGTTCTTAATACCTGTCCTAATGCTTGGAGACAAAGTGCTCGAAGAACTCCTTCTGCAAGGTCTACTGGTAAGTTTCTCCTGAGATCAGAACCAAAAGTCAGAATATTAATACTAATCACAATAGTAAAGATGGCTGTTAAGATTACCAAAGTGTTGTGTAGCCAATTCGGCACAAATAAATTGGTACCAACCTGAGCTCTGCAGGCAATTGAGGAAGAACATGTTTGACAGCACAATCCAGATATCCAGCTGCCTTTAAGAAGATATCAACAGAAGCTCGTCTACTTTCTGCCAGCAAGAACCAAAAGTTAAATTTTCAATCTCAAACCAAGTGTTATGTTTACTTGTAATAGACAAAATGCATTACAAAAGAGAACATTAATCGTTAGCAGTATGTTCAAATAGAGAAGTAATTGAATCTCCATTTGCCCTATCAATATGAGCCGAGGAGTTTAGGAAGAGTTGTTGAACTTGAATCATTTTCTAATAGAATTTTTCTTTGTGTCTATCACCAGGGGTCTTGGTGCCAAAACTTCTCTGGATTGTTAAAGCAATAAAAAGATAGAGGAATGTGCTGACATGTACCAAAAAGTATACTGAATATCACAAATGTAAAAACTCAACTCTACATGATAGTAGTACAAGACAGTAAAAGTCAAAAAGAGGGTCCAGACTGTATGGAAGAAAAGATTATTCCATTATGAAGGTCAAAGGTTTAACAAAGGGGCAACTGGCATCTTTACTTTTGGACCAGGGAAGTACAAACAACCTCCTAAACTTATCACTAGTCAAGAAGATGGAGTAAAAAGCTCAGCGCACTCAGGGTATCTAGGTAGCAGTGGCTAATGATGAGAGAAATACAGTGACCGCCAAATGTGTTCAGCTACCATGAAAGATGCAAGAAGAGACATTCTTTGCTCATTTCTTTGCCATGGAATTGAGAGAATTTGGTTTAGTTTAGACATTCAATCGTGACCTACGCTCTGAAGATTCATAAAAGATTTACATGATCAGATGATAAAATTTTAAACTGAAAGGAAAGCCATATGAGATTTATGGGGATAAGCAGGCACATGTTCCACTCACGGTGTCTTGATAACAAAATGTGTTCAGGTTGTTTGGTATCAAAGAGAGCTATAAAAACATACAAAAATGTGTTAACATGCACTGAAAATTTTGATGTATTTCCCACCTTCCGATACTTTCGGCTGATAACCATCAGAAGATGTTCTTGGAAGAAGCAATAAATTAGCCTGTGATAACAATAGTGTTGTCATCAAGTGCAAAACCGACAACACTTCATACCAAGCATTAGACATGGCTGTTTCCTGCAAATTATCAATCACACAAACAGAGGGAGGAGGATTCAAAAATAATAGAAAAGATCAGCAATCTTAAGGGGGAAAAACTTGACCCTCAAAAACAAACTATAAATTTCGTTCATTTATCTATTAGTCCAGAATTACCTCTGCTTCATCCTCCTGATTAATCCAAACAAATTGTACTTTATATTGTAGGTGATTTCCTGCCAATGACCATCAGCAAAAATGATTAGGACTTGTCTTAGAAAGAGCATACATCAATACAAAAGGAGTAACTGAGGTTTTACCATCTTTAACTAATCCCAAAAGAACAGGCAGGTAGTCCTCAAGAGCCTGCTGAAGATCAGACAACGTTGAACCACCTGAAGGAAGAATCTTGTGATACATCAATAAATTTGAGCAACATATTTACCATGGAATGATTTCATTTCTTTTGTTAAAACTAACCATGTTGGGTGGCACTTTTTCTTTTTGTCCGCGTAATTGTAGGACCTTCTTGACCAGCCATTACAACTATACGAGTTCTGAGGGCAGATAGACGCTCAACTATATTCTTGGACAAAGAATCACCAAGTGACTGGGCAAAATCAACGGGTTTAGGAATTCTTAGACCAGGAACATAAACTGAAACCTCTCCAATACTCCCCGGCCTTCTTCTATTTCCACCAGCATCCTTTGGAGTTGACAGAAGGCAACCCATGTCCGAATGCTTACTGCACCTGCTGATACAATTAAAACAAAGTGAAACACCTCCAAGAACCTTCTGTTCCAGTATATACAATATTTTTATGGGTTAGTTTCTAGAATCTGAAAGCACAACCGTATGAACAGAGTACAGGGGATAATGCTCTTATGAATATATTCCAGTGACCAAGATGATGCTTTATCTTATTAAAGTTCGAAGAGTGTAGGGAATTCTTGCAAGAAAGCTGAGTGATGAACAGTAAGAAAGCCATAGACAAACGAAATGTCAACCAGCAAAGATGTGGCAGTAGGTTACTCACAAGCAACATTACAGATAATTGGTGCTAGAACTCTCCATACTATTTTAAAATATACACATATTTTAATCAGCAATTCGCATTAATAATTCTCTCTTCTTTGTCCACTTTTCTTTAAGTGGAAAGTTTCATAAAGCTAACCCTTGATTGAAGATAAGCACCAAAGATTAATCAAACTAACCTTGTCCCTCGCCCTTATGGCTGACTGGTCGGGTCAAAGTTCTAGTAAGCTCTGCGCAAAAAATTCACAAGTAGAGACTTGAGCTTGAGAAAGAAATACATCTAAAAGCAACTATATCACAAGGAAAGCATGAGACATGACAGGTGTTGTCTGTGTCAGAGTTTTATTGTGATTACAAGAGAAAAGGTATCAAAAGTTCCCATCAAGCTAAGAAAATCAAAAGGCTCGGGAAAGAATTCCCCGTGCACCCCATTACACTCGGAAACAAAAACCCGGTATCAATGGCGAGAAACATGATCTCAACGAAACCCAGAATGAGAACTTCCTCAAGGTAAAGTGGCTTCAAGTTAAACTTTTTAGATCATAAATTTCAAGAAAGAAGACCCAGCAAAGACCAAAAATTGTGAGTAAAGGATCGCTAAATAAATATAAACAAGCAACAATTGCAGAAACGCGAAGGAATATTTGCATTCTTTTATATTTTTCTCGCACTCATAGATGAAGCGATCCGTAGGTTGGAGGTTTTAAATCAATCCAACCAATAGAAGCACGATAAATTGGAAACAAGGATGGACCAGCAAACCAACTCTAAGAAAAGAGGAAAATACTCCATTTAAGTGATAAAAAGTACAATACTTTGAATTTTCAGAACTGGGATTAAAAGCCACTTATAGAAAAGAAAATAAAATCCTTTTTCCCCAGAATTCGTACTATTACATAGCTTGAACAGGGTTAAGCTAATTTTCCAGCGTAATCCAGAAAAGCGCCCTCAAAAAACATGCCTTCCAAAGAACTTTCTACACTTCAATCATTCTCTCCCCTTTCTCTTCTGAGCCTCTAATTTCTCACTCCCAAACAGAAAAGGCCGGCAAAAAGCCCATGCGAAGAAATTCATATTTATGAGTCTTACCATCAACAACGCAGTGGTAAGAATTCAGCAAGGTAGAGTAAGTCAATTGGAAGCACAAAACTCCAACCTAATTCGATTCAAAATCAGAGAAACCCAAGAAAGCTGAGAATTTGAGACCAACCCACAAACACAGTCGCCCAGCAGCTCAAGATTGAAAAAGCAAAATTCAAAAATGTGATTCTAATGCACTTCTTCACAGAGACGAACAAAGAGAGAGAAAGATAGAGGCACAAGAGTCTTCCGTAGAAACAAAAATGGAATTATATTTAATTATCAGAGAACGTTATGATAATGCTCTGTCCTTATAGACACTCACCTCCAACACATCTGCTAGAAATGGTCTTAGCCTTGGGTCGCTTTATATCAATATGATAATGATAATTGCGTTTAAATGGCGCCCAATTCAACTCCTATCTCCCTCATTTTTATATTATTTTTCTCAAAAATCCCAATTAAATATTATTGATTTTCTTTATGTTTTTCCGCAGGTTCTTCTCTTTTGCCAATAATATTATTTCGTCATGCCCGTGAGTGCTTTATGATCACATTGCCTTCTAGCCCGCTTTGAAAAATAAATAACAAGCGCGCAAAAAATTTATTGCAAGTTGGTACTATTAAATAGTAATATTAAATCTGCAGAAATTCTAATTCTATGAGTTGAAGCCAAAGTAGTTGTTCATGAATCCATGGGCTGATCCACAGAAGATTATACGAACTTGTAGTGTGGCTGGGATTTGAAATGTCGTGTGTGAATATTTTGCTGGTGGAGAAAATTAATTAGAACATGAGATTCATGATGAAGATTTGCGTAAGAGTGACACATTCATTGAACTTATTCATATGATTGTTGAGATGTCAGGAATTTGTGAAATCATATGCAAAACTCTTTTTTTTCCTTTTTGTCTTGTCCCCCAAAAAACAAGCTGAGTTTCCTGGATGAGGGATAATCATAAAAATGATTGCATGCTTTTGCTCTATATATTTTTGAATTTTTGAACCTATCAAATTAAAATATTTGAGTTCTCAATCATTGGATAGACCTGTTTTTATTTATTTATCAAATTTATAAGATTTTTTTACACATTTCAAATTTATAAGATATAAACATCAATTTCTGCTAATAAAGCAAGTAGTCATTGATATGCATATAAAAAGAGAGATTTGGAAGTCATATAAATTGCTTCACTGATTTTTTAATATTCAAAATGTTATTAATTTAATCGTTGTTCATAAAATTGAAATGTTTTATCACAAGTGGAGTGCAACAAATATTGTTTATTACTAAAATTTATAGTTTTTGTAATTGCCATTTATTAGTAATGCATTTGATTGATAATCATAACATTCTATAGTTGCTATAATTATACATAATAGTATCATATATACGTATTTTAAGATATAAAGAAACACGAAAAAAAGGTTCGAATTTGGAACATTATTATGAGTTTCATGCTAACACGTGTTAAGGTCATATTCCAAAAAATCTACTAATTAGACAGGCATAATAATCCATGGTTCATAAAGAATGAGATAGCAATGATGTAGCAATAAGTAAGTAATTAAACCCAAATCATTATTAGCTATCAATAACAATAGATTAATAATTGAAGTAATTCCGCCCCCTTTTTTATTTCAAGTAAGATTTATTCGAGTTGGAATATTATTATAGAGAAAATTATTACAGAAAGCATTATGGAGTCACCTAGACACACACACACACACACATATATATAGAATTCGACTCAACTCAATTGCAATTAATTAATTGGGATATATATAATGTAATTCCTAAAAATGTGTGAGTATGATAACAAAAACAAAAGTAAATAAATACATTGATTCTTGAAGAGGATATATAACTGCATTATGTTGGTGACGTGTTGCAATAAAATTGGTTAGGAGGTAGGAATTAGAAGAAAGATATAAATTTGAGTTTGAAGCTTTTGAACTTGTGATAAGATATAGATAGTTCATTCCGAGGCATTATGATTAGACCCACTAGTAAAATGATGTGTGTGTATATTATATTAATCCTGTACATTATTTATATGAACAGTATAAATATGCATATGTGTCGTTCTATAGCGTGCCTTGATGAAATTGACCTCTTGCTTATAGCTATATATGTTATAGCTTTTCCTTCCTTGGCAATCCTACGATGCATGCATATAATCCTTGCAGCTAGCTACCACTAGCGAAGCAATGTGTAACTTTTTTATATTTTATTTTATACAATTTAAACACATACATGCAAACATATTGACGTCAGATTGATCAGACTTAAAATTAGGATAACTTATTGTTGATTATGAGCAACTATGTTTTTTCCCCCAAAAAGAACTATGTATATTTGAAAAGAAGATGATAGTATTGGCTAATTATTAATTTAAAAATTTAATCTTTTAGTCCTTATAATGATTTTGACTGACTTGTTATTTAAGACTTGAAGTCTAACTCAATACAACACAGTCCTATAATTTTAATGCGGTTGTAACTCAGTTTTTGAATTCTTACTTATTACAACTCAATCCTTTTAACTATTTAAAAGTTTAGATCTTATATTTTTAAAAAATAAAATTATATATTTGAAAAAGAAGTTTGTATAAATGAAATGATTTTTTAGTTACTTACATTAGAAGATGCATGTTGCCGATAGCATATGTTTTATACATATGCTATATTTTTTGCTAAAAAAGATCGCATATGTTTTATATCTCTATTTCTCGACATGGAATATTACTTCCAATATTTAGTATAAAATTAGTTAAAAGTTGAATTTTAATTATAAATATAAGACCTCAACCTTTTTTCAAACAATTTTTATTTATTGCAATTGTACATATCAAGGAGTTTACAACAAAAGATAATTTTAATGCAAATAATTTAAGGGAGTATTTTAAAAAAATAACATATATTTTTAACAAATAATTAATTTAATTAGTTTTCTTAATTTACTAAAACTAATTAAGTATATTTTATATTAAATAAATGAAGCAGTAATATGAAAGCAATTTTAACCTTTTTTTTTCCTATTTTTCCTAATATATCCAAATGTTCTGCCCTATTTTTGTCTTATAATTACCACACTTTTTAACCCTTACATGACGGTATTGTGTTATAGCCAGGCTTGTAGCAAAATAAGGTACGAGACTAATGGTAATTAATCAATTTAAATAATTCAGTGTTTTGATTTAATATGTCAGTAAATGTCCTATTGGATGTAATAGGATTAAGGGTGCCGACTCTTTCGATATTTTATCCTTAAAAGATATATTAATCTTGAATGATTCAAGATTGCGGGATTAAATCATCACTATCTCAGCTCAAAAAAAAAAAAATCATCACTATCGCATAAAGTACAAAAATTTTCAGACATTTAGCAAAATTTGACTGTGAGTAAAAAAAAAAATTTGGATAGAAACCAAACCATCGTCTTAAAAATATTTTTATCATATGCAAAGTAAATATACAGAAAAATTTATTTTATTTTAGAAAAAAATACTTTTTAAAAATATTTTTATATATTTCCAAACACCCCCGCAACCAGTTTATGTATATATAATTTTGCAAAATTTTTAAATTATATGTTCCGTATACATACATACATATATATACTCCTCCGGTCCTAAATGTAAGACCCTTATACACACTAGTATAAAGGTCTTACATTTAGGACCCGAGGAGTATTAAAAAAAATTTAGGTCCTGAATTGACGGATTGATAGCAGACCATTGATTGGGATGGGGAAATAGGACACCTGTCGTTGCCAGCTTAAGCCTCTAACCTCCGTTACTTTTTATCAATTAAATGGTTTCACAGTTTTTTTATAGACAAAAAATAATAACTTAAAATGATAAATTATAAAATTATTTGAAGAATCTGATGAGGACAAAATGCATGTCATATAAACATTGAGTTAAATTTTTTATTCTATAATATTTCATAATAAATTTTAAATGCGCTAATAATTCTTTAGTTTAAAGTAACCAACAAACTGTTTGGTTGAAATGGTAAACAGTCTTATCCATATAAGTAGGAAAATACAAATTTGAATTTCAAAAAGCATAATTATTAGAAGGATTTTACCTTTAATCTTAACACTCTTAACCTAATAAAAATTAGTTTTGAATTCAAAGTGATGATATAAAAAAAATGAGTTTACACAAATAAAATACTCCTATTTAATTTTCTTGGTTTAAATTTTCAAATTTCAATGTGTCAATGGTCGTGATTCTTCCTCCTCTGCACATTAAAAAAATACAACCACACAGAAAGCCCGACAGTGGGCATAGACAGTTACGAGGCAAAATATTTATAACAGAATGTGTTCATCAAATAAATAGGCCGCAATAAATTTTCTTGTTGCGATGATAGATTGATAGGGCTCCAATAAATTGTTGTTCCCACTATAATTATGCATTTCGGGGCTTCCATGGCATCAGAATTTTCAATGCTTTTAATGCACGGCCATACTATAATCCTAATTCTAATATTGTTAGAAAACATTTTTATTGTAGTTATAATTATATAATTAATCATATGGCTTATGTGTAATTTGCATTCATTTGCGTGAAGTGATTATTTGGTTTGATAATATTTGTATGCAGCATGTACTTATGTTTGAATTTCATTGACAGCAAAAATTGTTGATAGCAAAAAAAAAAAAAAAATCTTTTAGATCAAACTTAAAATCGATTTACATAAGGCTGGTTTAAAAAGTAACATAATTTTTTAAAGCCGGTTGTACAATCAGTCTTAAAAACTACTCTCTTTTTTTTTAAAAAAAAAAACGGAGTGTTTCATCAATCGGTCTAAAAAGTGGATATTTTATATAAAATTTTTTTTTCCTGCACGCCTTATATAATCATGTTAATCAATTAAATAATGTTTAGGTTAAAAATAAAAAATGGACTTTTTGAGTTTGTAATATAAATATAAATTTATATATGAATATAATTATCAAAAATAAAATATATAGATTTTTAGTAAAAACATGAATTATTTGTTGAAATAAAAAATAATCTAAAACTTTTCTAGTGATTACAATATTGAGAAAAATTTACACGGGGGAAAATAGGAGTAAGGAATTTTTCACAAAGACATTACATAATTTGAAGTTGCTGACTTTATTTAGGTATATTTTTTCCCATGCAACGCAGAAGAGATAATGCTTTAAAATTTATTTTCAATTGCACTAATTTTTTTAATAACAAATCTTTTATAAAACATGTGAAGAAGTAAAAGAATTTATTAAAAAAGATACAGGAA